CATGCCTCTCTGTGCATATGGAATAAGCACCACTAAGTGGACTCAGGGAGCTATCAATAACAAAAAAAGGACATGAAGTTGGGCGGGAAATCGGTGGGCACCATGGAGAAGTGAAGGAGGTAATAGTGAGTGGATAGGATCAAAATACATTGTATAAATGTATAGATTTTTCCAAAGAGTAAATTTTTTATCTAAAGTGAAATGCATTAATGTAATTGCCTGGCTGGTTATTACTGTCAAGCGGTTTTGTATCAGATAGAGATGGAGTGGGAGATGTCGGAGCTGAACAGTGGGAGCATAGATGCTCCATCTATGAGCTACACTGGCCTGCTCCTGGAGGGTTCTAGAAACCCCCAAGGAGGGGGCAGGACTTGGATAAGTTAAACTCGGGCTTTTACCGACATACCCCTATACCCCAAGTGCACTAGGAACCTCTGAGGCCGTCCCGCCATCCCAGGGAGTCAGCTTCCTAAACAGCTCTGGTCACAGCTCAGAAGATGCTGATGATTTGAGCCCATTGCATCTGGGGTCTGCGGCTGCACAGTGAGGAAGAGAGGGGCCAGCACGCGTTCCTATGTGGTTTCTGCTCTAGGTTCCCGCCGTGACTTCAGTCATGGACTGATACTTGGAAGGACACAATGAAAGAAAGCCTTCCCTCGCCAAGTTAACTTTTGGTCATGATCTTTATCACAGCAACAGCAAACAGACTAAGACATATGTGATTTAGGATCCTTCCAGCTAACAGACTGTCATTCTGTGTCCCCTAAACGTCCTAGGCTTGCGTCCTGGCAGCTTCAATCCGTCAGGGCCACTTGAGTACAGACTAGGTGTCCTTCCCTGTGCCTGTGCCCAGAGAACACGCACTGCTGAGAGCACCCTGCAGAGTCAGTGCTGGGAGCCTGTCTGCACTGCAGGCCTTGATCACAGCTTCCAATGAGCAGTTTCAGGGCAGGGAAATGATTTAACCCTCCAACTACAGTGTTTTTGTTGTGAGGAATCAGGCTAGTGGTGGGAAAGGGAGGCTGGGACCAGAGTATTCAAAACTAGGACTGGACCCCAGGGAGCTGAGCTTGAGGGATACTCTGTCCCTTGCCTGCTTTATGGAGTGGGAATTCACACAGAGCAAGGACTTCCGGCTGAACCCTGGCCAGCCTTGCTTTCCTGGCTGCCTGGCTTCTGTGCTCCCACTGCCCCTGGAGGCTCCAAGCTAGCTTGGGAGATCTGAGCCTCCCCTGAGGCTGAGGTGTGTTAGGCGCTCAGTAGGCAGAAACTTGTTAGAAGCCATGTCTATCTGGCTTCTGGAGAACTCAGGGAGGACCAGAGGCTGGTGGTCATACCTGGAAGTAAAAGAATATTGAATCTCATGTGGACCTTAGACCTCTGTTTAAGGCTCTGAGCTGCCGCAGGGCTGAGCTGATCATCAGAACGGAAGGGCAACAGCTATAGCTGTTTGGAGTGACACAGGGGACCACGGGGATGAAAAGTCTACAGACCTGGCATCCGGGTCTCTGGATGAGGAGATGGAGGAACTGGGATTCAAAGCCGATGTGGTCTGACCACAGAGGTTATAGTCTAAAACCTTGTTCTCTGTCTTCTCTGAGGGATCTGGGCCTCCTGGGTCCCAGGTGACGTGAGTCCCTCACGCATCCTCCTCCAGGTTCCATTGCTGCCTCAGCCACTGGAACTTGCCGACATTTTCAGGATAGCCTCAGACCCCTACAAGCCCAGAGCCAGAGCCAGGGCCCCTGTAAAGCCTGCGGAGACCATCAAAACCCACCTCATCATTCTGTTCAGTTCTGGCTCCAGGTCACAGGTAGGAGTAGTTTGTGGAGAACTGGCATTCAGGGCTGCTACTGGCCAATCACAGTTCTCACCTTTGGCTCTACAGTCAGTTCACGGACTCCTCCCATGCTGTGCCACTAAGAAGCTCACCTGCACCTAGACCCTGGCCCTCATATAGCAGGACCTACAAGCAGCTGACAGCCACAAGGGTTTGAACGGAAGTGGCTTTTTTGTCTTGTGAGGATATGGTTTAAAAGCACTTAAAAAAAAGATTACTTTTATTTGTATGTAGTGTATGTGTGGTGTGTGTGTTTATGTGTGTGTGGCATGGTGTGTGATGCGTGTATGTGTGGTGTGTATATGTATGTGTATGTGTGTGGCATGTGTGGTGTATGTGGTGTGTGTATGTGTGGTGCGTGTATGGTGTGTGTGTGTGGCACGTGTGGTGTATGTGGTATGTGTGTGGTGTGTGTGTGTGGTGTGTGTGGTTGGGGTATGTGTGTGTGTGTGTGTGTGTGCGTGTGTGTGTGTGTGTGTGTGTGTGTGTGTGTAAAAGAGGGCATCAGACCTCCTAGAGGAGGAGCTGCAGGCAGTTGTGGGTGGGAATTGAACTCAGATTCTCTACAAGAGCAGCACCCTCTACTAAACACTGAGAGCTACAGATGTGGGAAGAATGGGACTCAGTCTTTACAAGGGATGAAGTCGGATCTTTGCCTTATGAGTTGCTTTTATCTGTAGGAGGCATGGAGGTCCTTGGGCTCACAGACAAGCACTAGGGGAGGCTGGAATGTCAAATACACAGGGTTGTTCCTTCGTAGGAAGGGATGCATAACCTGTTATCCACACAAAGGCTGGGAGAGGGTGTGGTTAATAGTCCGGTGACTTCTGTGCTATATGTATCGTTGAGACCACCCTGCAATCTCCCCTGGACCCTTAACGAAAGCTTGTTTGTCTCAATCTATAGAATACATTTTTATGGGGGTGTTACGCAGAGTTCTATGTAGTCGAGTCTGATGTTTATTGAGCTTAATTTGTGCTTTGTTGTGCACATAGACTGAGTTAATTATCACCAGAAAAATTTTTGCCAAATTGTGCTGTGTTTAAATATGCCTAAACAAACCCCTTGGGGTCAGACTTCTGGGGTTTGTGCTAACACCAGCTGCTTAGTTGTGTTGAACTGGACTATCTTCCTGCCTCCCACAGACTGTTGCTCTGCTGGCTGTGGGGATCACAGAGGCTCCCCCATATTTAGTCTGGGGAAACTGCCCACAATTTGGGGTCCAGGTGAATGTGAATTCAGTGTGTTACCATTGTTAGTGAAGTGGAGGGGTCAGAGATGACCACTATGACAGGGCACAGGGGTAACAGAGTTGAAGAAAGCCATCAGGGGATTGGGAGCAGCCACACTTGAATCCACTCACCACTGTTTGCCTTCTGTGGTCACTCCGTTTTCACTCCCCCAAGTCCTCAGACATCAGTTGCTGATAAACAGTACCTACAGCCCAAGATGCCCCCAGGAAACTGTGAAACATTCCCTAGAACCTCAAGCTATGGTCTGCAGACAGAGAGATGGGAGTTTGGTTCGCTGTTTTCTTTTTTTAGACATTTAAGGGAAAGACATCCCGCTATCCCTAAGCTGCCAAGTTCACGTCTCAAACTCACGAACTTGGGATATAGAGATACAAAGACTATTCCCGTCTAAATATTTGCTATCTTAGTTCCCACGGTAATATGTAAGAAAACAAATATCACCACAACATGAAAATATTCGCTAGGAATCTCCCCATCTGGAAAAACGATGCTCACTCACACCCTCTCCTCTTGCTTAGTAAGCCTGTCTCTTCCAGCGCCCATCAGTATGGATCACAGTCAGATACAAGGCCACGGCACAAGTTCAGTGCAAACCAACGGTAAAGTTCAAGTCAAAGAAAATAGTGGTGGTGACCTTCACAAGCAAGGCCTGTGATCCAGGAGGATCAGACAGAGCTGGGCCAGTGACCAGATAAAGAAAAAATGAGGATGATGGCAAGATAGGTTCTTCAGAAGGAAATGGCTTCACTATCTTGGGGGAATTGCTCTAGCCTTACATTTTAAACATTCTCTTGCTGGGGTTGCTATAAAATAAAACGTGAAGAATGTGGTATCATGTGAACACATTTTTTGGTTGACAGAAAAAAAATAAGCAGAGGCTGGAGAGATGGCCAACCAGAAAGACACTACCATACAAGCGTGCAAACTTGAGCTTGGATCCTTAGCACCCACATAAAGAAAAGGAGGGTGGGCAGGGGCAATGTGAGAAACAGGCAGGAAGACCCCTAGAGTTTTCTACTCAGTCTTATCAAATTGGTGACTTCCAGGTTCAGGGAGAGACCCTGCCTCAAAAAATAAAGAATAAAGAAGACACTCAACGTGAGCCTCTGGCTGCCATGGATGTGAAAACACATGCATACACTACATATACAAAAATAAAACAAAACAGATAATATACAGATCAAGATCAATTTGAAAATAAACATAACCTATACTTTGTGATTATATATAGCTAAAATTGCTTTTTTAATTTAATATGCAAAATAAAACCTCATTTGGTACCTTCTTTGCTATTGCCATTGCTTTTGTTACTCATCTGGGTTTTCATTTTGTTTTGATTTTTGAGATAGGGTCTCGGTCTGTAGCCTAAGCTAGTCTGGAACTCAAAGTGACCTATTACCTCAGTTTCCTGAAGGCTGGACTACAGGCATAAGCCACCATACCTGCCTCAACGAGAATGCTCCTACTGAAGACTTTAAAAACCATTTTCTATTTTATTATCAACTTTGCCTGAAACCCTGTCCTACCCTTGACTATGAACTTTTGATATTCATTTGAAGCAGATTATTTGAAAGCGACCTTTGACTATGTCTGATACCCTGTCTCCTCTACTTCTTTCTCAAGAGTAAGAGGGAGCAGTCTGGGCCAAGGTAGTTTGAAACCTCATGAAGCCTTAGTCATATTCTGTCTAGATGGCTCCATACTCGGGCTTCATGGGACCATGGCCACTTAAACAAACCCAGGGCAGCGTATTCTCCAGAGCAGAAGCCACGCACCTTCCCCAGGCACCCCTGCAGCTTGCCCCGCTGTCCGAGCACTCTGTGGCCAGTTTGAAAGCGGTGGCCTCGGCCCAGAATGCTTAGCTTGGCCCCCAGCCAGGCTAGCCATGGGCAGGAAGGGGCACTTACTTGGGTTTGGACTGCCTGTGGCTCTCCAGGGGGCTCCTCATCCTCAGGAATGTGGGGCATGGCAGCCTCCTGGCTGGAGTGGTTGTGTATGCCTGGAACCTCTGCTGTGTCAACCCCAAAGATGCTCCAAGACGCTTGGGCTCCGCAGGCTGAGGAGATGCCAAAAGGACAAGTCAAAATCCTTCCCATCCCTGTCCCAAGCTGGGTTCCATTTCCAGGATCCAAGAGCTGCAGACCGGCTGCTTGGGTTTACATCAACACCGGAGGTCAGGCAAGGCGAGGCTGGGAGCGGGCATTGGGAGTTGCATCGCCTCCTGCTCCCTGACTTTGTTTACACAGGCAGGGGTGACCTTTTGCATCTAATTTGGTCCTTACAGTAAACATATCTATTCCAGAACAGAAACATTCCAGCTCCGCAAAGCTATAGCAGAGGGAGGATGCTTTGCTGAGATCAGATACCATCTGTACGCCGTTTATTGCACTGATACCAGCTGCATGGCTGCCATTAGCAAACTGACTCCCTGTGGTGCCCTTGGGTGAGGGTGGGCATCAATAGTTCCATCCTACAGGTGACAGAAGAGCCTCTCAGGGTGGAAGTCACTTGTCCTGAATCACACAGAAACAGAGTGTTTGCATCCATTGGTGCCCATGGCTCTTTCCACTGTACCACACATCCTTTCCTAGGTCTGCCTCCTCCTCATGGGGAGGACAAGACAACGCCATTAACTGAGTAGCCACTGTCTCACCCTCACAAGGCCAGTGGCTGCTGACGCAGGAGCCTATAGGAAAGGCCAGAAAGCTCTGCTGCTTCCCATGACATAAGAGCTCCTTCCTGTCCCAGAGACGGGGCCTGGAAAGTTCCCTAAACCAGGGTGCTGCAAACCAGGCTGATACCTGGCATCTGCCCCACCACCCTCTGGATCCGGCTCTCCAAGGCAGGGAAGGTGTCTGATTTGTTATGAATATTCAAAAAACCATCAAAAATTGATGGTTTAAAGAATTTAAGCCACATTTGTGTTTAAAGAATTGGAGACATTTAGTCCAGGAGCAGTCAAAGGGGGCACCGTCTTGGCTTTTGTCTTTTACCCCAATAGGTAGCCCACTCTGCAAGGAAGCATTTGGGGAGACCCCTGCTGGTCATCTTGGAAATCTCATCTCAGCTAGGCCATTCATACACAGAACTTTTTGTTGTTGTTTAGGACTGAGTTTGATGCACCCCAGGTTTGCTTTGGACTCATTATGAAGTTGACAGGTTCACTTTCCCCCACGTCCCAAGCGCTAGGACTCCAGGCGTGTACCACTATGTCTGGCTGGGGCAGTCATTCTTTTTTCATAAACTTTACATTAGGTCTGTGTCCTGTGCTGTGACACAGAGACAGGGTACAGCTTTGGCCCTCATGGGCTCTTGAGTCCAGTGTTGGGAGGCAACTGGAAAACTGTGATTGGCGTAAACACATCAAAATGAGGAATTCTAAGGCCTCAAGAAAGAGCCCCTGACCATGCAGACTGGGAGAGCGACGTGGCTTCGTGGTCTAGCTCTATGTTGCGAGGGCCATTGGAGCTGAGCCCTAGCACAGAAATGCGAATGGAACTTATCCATTTGCAGAACAGCCCGGGGCTGAGCAGGGTAGATGAGCTGGCAGGGAAGAAGCCACACTGGGCTGGGCTCCAAGCAGATTTATCTTGACTTCAGAGACTAAGAGCTGTGGGGCTGGGCCTCTGTGTCTTCCATCTCCCAGAGAGACTACTAGATGAAGCAACTGAACATTAGGTTCCCCCAAAAATGAGCTCTCTGGATAATCTCATTACCTTTACTTAGACATTGATATCAGCAGCAGAGGCAACAGCAGTGCATTGTCATGGGGTAGCTGAGGGTAACAGCAAGCTGCACATCTCAGGCAATGTCATTGCCTTACCCCTGCTTACCCCTATCTTAATAGGAACATTTCCCAAAGAATGGGAGGCAGCCGTTTCACTTTCTGTGTGTGTCTTAATCTACACAACGCATATTGTGTGCTGTCAAACAAGGGCTCAGACAATGAGACTATGTTCAGAAAAGAGAAGATTCTAGGAGGACTAGAATTTGCTGTTACGAACACAAGACTTCACCCTGGGCCAGAGAAGCTGCAAGGGAAAGCGATCTATTCTCAGACACCTGAAAGGTAGTCATGAGGCCCAGGGTCTCCAAAGGACAGGTGTGCGTCCAAAGACCCATCAGTCAAGTGAGAAGGCAGAGGAACCATTTCTGGAGTCAGCTAAAGATGGAGGACAATACCCTGCAAGGTCAAGAGTTTCTTGTTCCTGGGGGACTTTCAATACTGGCTGACTCTAGGGGTCATGGGAATTCCAGCCACAGCAGTGGCCTTTTCTGACTCTGAAATCCCGGACTCTGTCTAGTCACAACCAGTCACAGGGATGCTCCCAGCCCGGGGCTCATTCAGAGATCCTAGGATTAAAACCATAGCAGAGATACCCCATGTCGAACCCTCCACTGTTTGCTCTTGAAGACAGACCTTTGTCAGTCATTAGGCAGAAACAAAACCTCACGGGTGCGGTCAGACACACCTGGAGATGCTGGCTGCAGCTGGAGGGAAGCTGCCTGCAGTCCCATGGCTGGACAAGATGCAGTCCATGCGACTCCAGGGGAGCCCTTGTGGCCCTGCTGCGGGCCATTCCCATGCTGCCCGGGCTCCATTTCTTTCCCACCCATTATTATAAACTCTCTGCTTAAAATAGCGAGGCGAAAGCCAGTCCAGTCAGCAGGGTGACATCTGGGGGTCTGCGGGGACTCACGGGCGTGTGGACCTCACATCCATCAGGGCACAGTTTGGAATACAACCTCCAGGAAGCCACGCTCTGAGTGCCAGCCCATAAAAGGAGAGAACACTGAGTCATGTTTCCCTGCCTCCTTTTCAATCCACTTCCAAATATTTCCTGATGCTTCTCCAGCCAGGTCAGGTTAAGTGAGTCATGCCAAGAGCCAATCAGCTCTTTGGACTCTTACCAACGTTTAAACAGAACCTGGCCCATTTTACAGGGAAGAAAACTGAGGCACGAAGAGGAGAAACAAATAAGACAGGGTTCAGTTACCTTTGTACCAAGGTAAAGCACTCAAGAGCTCCTGCTGGGATAACTATCCAGTCATTTGTGCAAGTGAAGAGGCTAGACATCCCTGAACTATCCTAAGATAGTTCAGCAGATAATATTCCTCATCAGTTTCCCTACTGGGTGTCCCACACTACTGTGTTCGGTCAAGCACTGTCTTCATGCTAAGCCCCTATGGCAGAGGGGGTGTGTTATCTAGTTTTGTTTTGTGCAATACTGGGAATTAAACCCAGGGCCTTGAGCATAAGCAAGTGCTCTACTCCTGAGCTGTACCCCAGCCCTTAGCTGTAAGTTTTATTACTTTCATTTAGTGTAATAAAGCGCCAAGGCTCAGAGATGATCAGCAAGGTCATGTAACTGGTAAGTCTGAGTCCAAAGCATCATCTTCTCTCTTACCCAGGTACAGCCAAAGAGTCTTGTGTAAGCGCCTCTCCAGCAGGAAGAGCTGGGGTATAAACTCCCAGAGGCACAGGGGGAACATTGAACCTGTAGTTGTCAGGCCAAGCGTCTTCTGAAGATAAAGGAAGGCGCCCAGCTTAGGGAGGTGACTCAGTGGATAAAGGGCTTACCACACAGGCATGAGGACTTGAGTTCAAATCTCCAAAGCCCATATAAAACTGAACGTGACAGCAGACATAGGTAATCCCATTGCTCCTAAGGAAAGATAGGAGGAGAAGACAGGAAAATTTAAAACGCTGGTGGGCCGCCTTGCCTGCTGTATGTAGCGCGAATAAGAGATCCTGCTGCAAAAGAGGTAGAAGACTAAGCTGACATCTGAGGTTGCCCTCTGACCTCCAAACATGAGCTGGACACGTGTACATCCTCCCAGAGAAGGCCACAGCTTGAAGTTTCATGCTCCTAGTACATGGTGTGGCCACGTGTTCGTTCACGGCGGAGGCAGCGGCCCCTTCGTTGGCCTTCCTTTTTATGTGTCCAATCACACAGCATGCAGAGATGTGGTCATGGAACCACTCATGCCGAGAGGCCTCACACTAGGTCAAAAGCATAGGCTCTGTCCCATAAGAGCTTCCTTAGAACCCTGTGGGCTGTCTGAGGACAGGCAGGACGGCAGGGAGGCAGGAGGCTCTGGCAATAGAGGCCGCATTCCTTTATTCTATTCCCAGCAACCATTAGGGCCCCCTGTGCTCATTGTCCTGAGGAACCTGATAGATCTAAGGTAGACAAAGGAGACTCAGCCCACCTGGTTGCTGTGCCTCAGCAAGTACCAGGCTGTCTAAGGAGTCAGGGAGAAGACAGGAATAGTCTTTGCGGAAATACCCTCAGTGCTCTCGGCCTCCCTGGGCCGTGGTCTTGGAAGCACCAACACTGGGCAGGTGACAGAAACCTGAAGGTATCACCCAGGATTTGCAGTGGCCGCCATGCCAGGTATATCTGCCTGACTTTGTAAGTCACTGTGGGGCCAAGCCTGCTGGCCTCTCTCAGAGCCGTGTGGCCTGACCAGAAAAGATCAAACCCCTCACTTGAGTCGCCATGTCCTAGGGGCATGGCCTACATGCTGTGTGGTTCTGTCTCTGCTAATCTAGATGCCAGGGGAAGAGCCAAGAGGTCCTTAGGAAAGCAAGGGGTTAAGCCAGCCTCATGGACCTCACTGGGGTGACTCAGTCTTCTCATAAGGGAGGGTTTTGTTCTTACAGCTTGGGACTTTTGCTTTCATTTAGCACCCAAAGAATGTAAGAGTGATTAGGGTGCTATTAATATCCAGCCTAGCCTCCCTCTGGGCAAAGGGCTGAGGCAGGAGACTGCTTGGAATGACTATACACACATCTCTCTAAGCCCCTCCACAAATCCAGAGGGGCAGGAGGCTGCTTTCCCTGCTCCCACTCTTGTAGATGGGGTGCTGTGGCTGAGGGAAGGGTGGGGATTTGACCAAGGCCACATCTAGGGAACGATAGCCTCAGAAAAGGCCCATGAGTCCCTGCTTCTGGGAAGTGAGTGCAAGGCTGGCCGAGGGCAGAAGGAAAACCAACATGAGATCAGAGCTTCTGGTCCCCCTTCTACTTGTGTTCTCGCTCGCAAGAGAGGATGCTCTTTCCTACCCTCACCCTGGGTGGCCTTGGAGAATGTCCTCAGATGACTGT